AATTTGGGGAGAGGGGCTTAATTTGATTTTATGCCTATAAAACATGCTGGGACTTCCTACTGGGGGAGGCCATATTGTTGGAAAAACACGGTACAATGCAGTGCACCTTATGTACTGTATATTTTGACTATAATTCTCAGCTAGGATACAATATTCAGAGAGGTTGTTATCATTCTGTATATGTATAACGTTGAGTGAGGGTCCCTATATCAGGTTTTATGTTAGGACTTGGCAGTTATTTATTTATTTGTATCCCACCTTTATTATTTTTACAAATGACTCAAGGCGGTAAACATATCCAGCATATCCATTCTTCCTCCTATTTTCCTCATGACAACACTCTGTGAGGTGAATTGGCCTGAGAGAGAACGATTGGCCCAAGGTCACCCAGCTGGCTTTCACAGCTAAGGTGGCACTTGAATTCACAGCCTCCTGCTTTCTTGCCTGCTGCTTTAACCACTAGATCAAGTTGGCTCACACTTTTCTCTCTACTTTCTTACCTCATACTGGAATAAACAGAACTAATTATTGCTTGTGTTTTGGCAGAGATTGTTAAGATTTCAAAATTGGTCTTTTTGGGGTGTGTGTGTGTGTTCCATGTAGCTTCAGTTAGGAATGAGGAACATTTTCTACCCCCAAAGAGTCAGGTTCTATCTCCCATCTTCTCCCATAGCAAAGCCAGTGATGAAATCCACAAATACATATGGTGCCCAAAATCAAAGGAGGTTACCAAATTGCTGTCTTCCAAGCTTCAGAGCATCTATAGCTTTTTAATAGAATGGAGATGAAGAGTTAGTGGAATTAGTCATGTTGAACACCATTGTAACTGTTATAAAGATAATTATTTTCCTCCTGTATTATTTCCTTCCTCTAGAGAAATCATCCCGTTATAATACTAGCCAGCACAAGTCTTTCCTGTCAGAATATCAACAGGGCTGGCAAGAGAGACACCAAGTTCAAAAACTGACTTAGAAGCCTGTAAAGGTAATCCACCTGCACTTTTTTCCTTTCTGTCTTCCAGATATGCAGCAGCATGAATGTGCTATTAGCTGGAAGGCCCACGATGGAGAGGTTTATTCTGTTGAATTCAGCTATGATGAGAATGCTGTTTACAGCATAGGTGAAGATGGAAAGGTAAGTTTTAAAAAATTGTGGCCAAACTGACATATACGACAGCAACACATTTATTTATATCACTATTTATGTCTTTCTTTGGAGATATAGTTGGCCTCAAAATAGCTGGTATCTATATCTAATTAATGACACCTTATCTAGAAAAGACCATGCAACCCTCTGTACCTTCTGAAGTTTCATCTGAAAGCTGTTGATCCAGTGAATCTGTAAATCATTTTGAAAACTAGCAGATGTCCTAATTTGTAGGGACCCCATTGGTTATGTTTATTCCGGTATCAGTGATTTTTCCTCTATATTTGTAGGTGCTATTGCACAGTAAAGAATGCATATTTTATATCTTACTGGGATCTATTATATCATTGTAGTTTATTCAATGGAATATCCATAAAAGTGGATGCAAAATTTCTGAATTTAGTCTCCCTAAAGATGCCACTGGGCCCTTTGTGTTGTCTGGCTATAGCGGATACAAACAAGTCCAATTCCCACGTGGAAGGCTCTTTGCATTTGATTCTGAAGGAAACTACATGTTAACCTGTTCTTCTACTGGAGGTGTTATCTACAAGGTACTATCCATTGGTTAAGATAATTACATGTTGTTTCTGTAACAAGGACTGATTTTTTTTTCATTCTTCAACTATGATTTGGGAATAAGCAATTTGATGGACTTGAATAACTTGCGAAAAGATTTAGAAATCACATGGGGTGGGAGGTGATTTTATTATGATGTTATTATTATATTAATTTATTTGATTCTTTTTATTAGTTTTATTGTTTTAATGTTTTATATTCTGTAAGCCGCTTTGAGTCACCATGGGTGAATAGGTGGCAGTATAAATTTAATAAATAAATGTCTAAGCCAAAACCAAGTAGCCACATTGAAATGTAGCATTATATGTTAATCTGACTACATACAGTACCTCTGGGTAGTACTTACCAAAGAAGATCAGAAGGGTTCTTGTAGCCATCTGGATAGATATTGGAAACAGTTAACTACATCAGATAGGTCTTTCCTGTGGTCATATATCGTGTTAAAATTAAAGGGTTTGGGAAACTCATGAGTGGAGACAGAGTAAATGCAGCATATTTTGAGAAGTAGAGTGATGAAATTTTGGTCTATTTTATAATCCACGTAACCTGTGTTGACATTAGTATATATTGTACTTCAGTAATCATTCTGGCATTATTTGTCTTAGCTCTGCTGTATGGCTTAAAGTCCAGGATAATAATCTAATTTTTTAAAAGGACCAAGTTTTCCTAGAATTTTAGATTCCAGATTGGTAAGTGATTTCTGCCATAAAACCTTGCTAATCTTTGATTTATCTTTTCTCTATTTCAGCTGAATAGCAATGACAAAGTACTAGAGAGCTGTCTTTCCCTTGGAGGACATAGGGCTCCGGTGGTCACTGTGGACTGGTGCACAGCCATGGACTGTGGGACCTGCCTCACTGCATCCATGGATGGGAAGATCAAACTAACTACTCTACTTGCACAGAAGTCTTAAATGAAACTGTGCTCCAAGATGTGAACATTTTTTTTAACAGAAGAATGAATGATCAGTATTAACCATTAGCTTCAAACTTTTATAGGGAGGGAAGGTTTAATTATTTGTCTTAATGTCATCATCTCTTTTTAAGTTAGGAGTTAAATTTAATTGCCAAACTACTACCACTTAGAAGAGTACGTTCTAAGAGTTCATTTCAACAAATATTAAACATTCCCGGATTATCAAGTTCCTTTCAATAAGAAGCAGCCCATTGTTCCTCTTAGTCTTCATTAGCACATAGCCATAATTCTCTGGGTTAGTCCCAAGATGGAGTACAAATTTGTTATGGTTCTAGCAAGTGGGAGATGGAATGGAAAGTCTTGTTCAAAACTCTAACAGTATTGACTGCATTTTTACTCGAAGAAAACTTGATTGCATTTACATTATGCTACTTTGTTTGAAGAACATTCCATGCTAATGCTCCTAGAAGGAAAAAAGTTATATATAATTCATATTGTTTATTTTCCTTTAGAGTTTTGGACATCTGATACAGACTACAAAAAGCATATGATAGTAAAATGTTATGAAATGGCATCTGTGTATTACTACCAATTTTTAATCAATTCATCCTAATTAAGTTCTGTTACGCAAGCAAGCAGTTTTATAGAACTCTTAGCTTTCTTTCTTTTATATCTCTAGCAATTTGCATGTTTGGAGAGGATAAGAATACACTGCACCAGTAATGGCTAACCTTTTCGGCACTGAGTGCCCAAAGCGCATGTGCGCAAATTGCCAAAATGCAACGCACATCTCCATGCATGCATGTGCCCCGCCCCTGCATGCGCCCTGGTCCCTACGCATGTGCGGCAGAGACCCGAAGATGAGCTGGCCGGCGGGAGATGCGCACGCATGCGGGGCAGAGCTAAACTGGGGTGATGGCTTGCGTGCCCAGAGGGCTCTGCGTGCCATCTCTGGCATGTGTGCCATAGGTTCGCTATCTTGGCACTACACAGTGAAACACAGACACCAGCATATGATACCTTGGAACTGCTTTTATGTCAATCCATATTTTTTTAGAGGTACTTGTATCGTGAATAGTATTCTTGGTCATCAGCCTGAGTTCACCAAACACAATTACTCTCAGAAATACATCTAAGGAGGCACAGTTGTGGCCTTCAGCTGTAACAGAATTGAACACAACAGAATTCCAAGCAGAAGGTGAACAATAGTGTCTGTAATAAAACAAATGTGCTTTGGCAAGTACTGAAGGTAGTTGAAAGAAATGGAGAAAAGTTCTGACCTACAGCCTATAATAATTTAGAATTATTTTATTTTTGTTAGGGGGAAAATAGATGAAATGGCACTATTGTAACCGTAGCATGCTTGTGGAAGTGCAACACAGACTGATTTAAAAATTGTGGAGGGGAGCCCAGAATGATCCCCTTAAGGCTGAATGTTATCATTATTGGTAAGGCCTTTTTCACTGGAAGAAAAGTGTTGAGCTAATAGAATTTCAAATGACAGCACCCCACACTGCAACAGCTGGATATGCAGTTTCCATACTTAAGCATATGTGAAGTTCAAATGTGGCTGCATTCCTATGACAAGTTTTATGGTTAACAATTAGGGTTTATTAACGGCCTGACATTGCACACCAAATCATGAACTAACCACATTCATTTCATTAAAACAAAATCCTAGTGTAAAATACAGGTAATCCTCAACTTATGACTACAACTGACATTTCTGTTAAGTGAGAAATGTATTAAGTGAGTTTTGTCCCATTTTACGACCTTTCTTGCTACAATTGTTAAGTGAATCACTGCAGTTGATAAGTTTGTAACCTGGTTGTTAAGTGAATCTGGCTTTCTCATTGACATTGCTTGTCAGAAGGGGATCACATGACTTTGGGACATAGCAACGGTCTTAAGTATGAACCAGTTGCCAAGCATCACATGATCACATGATCGTGGGGATGCTGCAAAGATCGTAAATGTGAAAAACATACATCACCTTTTTCATTGCCGTTGTAACTTTGAACATGACTAAATGAACTGTAAGTCGAGGACTACCTGTGCAGCTATTGTATAGTTCAATGTCTTGTGTAAACTGCGTATGAAGTTAAGGGGAAGAATAAATGCATGTCAGATTTCTTAAAAGAGGAAAAATCCAGGTATATTTTAAAAAAATTGCACCTAAAAACCCTTTAAAGCATTTAATTGTGATAAGTGCGATAACTGAAGATATGTGGACATGTCCGAGATCAACATACAAAAATGATACAAAAGGAACTGTGGCAATTATTCAAAGGAGGGAGGGGGTTACTATACATTTGGATCAGTTATTTTTTTTCAAACTGTACCTTTAAGGTGTGGACTTGAGGGAGATCTGGGAGTTGAAGACCCCACATCTTGAAAGGTGCCGAGTTTGAAAAAATCTAGTTTCGATCATCCCCCCCCCCTCCCCCTTCTCGCGAAGAACTCTAGTCAGTGCAGGGGTCTCCAACCTTGGCAACTTTTAAGACTTGTGGACTTCAACTCCCAGAATTCCTCAGCCAGCAAAGCTACACACGTCTCATTCTGCTTCCGGGTGTCCTTGAAATTCAAGTCTCAGAAGCGACTGGTGTGCGACTCACGTGACGGAGTAAATCCTCGTTTCCGGTGCCGATTTTCGAACCGGAGCTGCTTGTCCCCCCCCCCCCCCTCCGCTGCCACCGTTGAGTTAGTTGTTTATGCCGTTGCTTTCTGTTTGGAGGTGTGATGGGTGAGGGTTGTTTTTTTCCCCCCTTTCCAAGGTGGACATCGGCAAGCGACGCGAAGCATCTTGATTCGCAGGGTGACTAAACGCCCCGTGGTGTTTTTCTTTTAAAAACGGATTTATTGATTTTACGGATCCTAGCTTGAGATACTTGAAAGAGTAACTGCACAGTTTCTCGCACGAGGAACTAAGAAAAATTAGATTCAGTTTTCAGTTTTGTTTTTTCTACTGGTTTAGGAATAAGCGTCATGGAATATATTGAATCTTATTATATAGACTGAATTTAGTATTCGTGTCTTTTTTGCATTTGCACTAGTGAGAAATTTGTGGCGGGTGCTTCCTATCATTCTTGTGCCTGGTCGTTTTGGCTCCAAGTACATAATGTAAATATGTAACATTGCCTGTTATGATTAGTGATGTCGATAAATCTCTGAAATATTTGATGCCTGAAAAATCAGAACTCCCATTTTTTTGTTTTCTCTCTATTTAGACTTGCAGCATAATCCTGTGGGAGATAATGGAAAGGCCCTTGTTATTGGACAGGTTCCAACACTGGGTGGATTTGGCCCAATTTAGGAATTGTATGTCCCACAAGTGTCTATAAATCCCCAAACCCAGATTATTACAGGTAAGGAATTATAGGGTAAAGATTGCCTACTGCTAATGCAAGAAACTCAGGAGCTTGCTGTGTAGAAGCAAGGAAGCAGAAAACCTTTTGAAGATCTTTTGGTCCAAGATTGAACATTTGGGATGGGGGGAGGGGCTGAATGGGAAAAAATGGAAGCAACATAAAAACCTTCAGTAGTTGTCCTTTATTTAGAATATTTTTTAAACTGTTGAGCTCCACCTTATTTTTTCTACATATGTGCTTGTATCTGCAAGTTATTGAAATGGGAACACAAATGGAGTGGGTGATACTTAACTTTCCTTCCCACAATCTCTGGTAACTCTGAGTGTAATTGCATAGTTTTCTTTATTTTTTAATATATTTATAAAATAAAGTGTTAGCTGGCCACTTATGGCAATGAGCCAGTATGTTTTTTGATTGACACACCAAAAGTAGTTTCAATTGCTCTATTTGCTGCTAGTTCAGTTATTGCCTATGGTTACCACCAAATGGCTTGAGATGTGTAAACATTAGAGAGGAATAGTAGGCTACACGGAACCATTAATTCAATTGCCAAAATTTAATTTCAAGTTTTTCAGTTGCACAAATTGTTCTCCTTTTTGAATTAACAGAAATGAGCCCCCCTGGGGCAGCAAAGAAGAGGATTCTCCCAGCATGGATGAGCAAGAAGACAGCTGAACCAGAAGAATGGGCAAAAATGGGGTCAAAGAGAAGAAAAAAGACAGCTGTAGCAAGGTATGCTGCCTACCTGTCTCTTAAAAATCAGAGAAGAATGGGTTGTTCTAAACTTCCCTTTCTACCCCAAAGGCCAAATTGGGAGGAGGGTTGGGGTGTGTGTGATGTGTGTGTAGAACTATTGATGGACTAGGGCAGGGGTCGCCAACTTTTTGGACCTCAGGGACCACCAAACTCATAATTTTAGATCCCAGGGACCACTAACTGGTTCTGTGGGTGTGGCCTAATTTGTGGGCATGGCTTGGTGATCATGTGCCTGACTGGGCATAACTTGTATGTAAATATTATAAATATTTATATAAATATTGAATTTTTTATTTAAAAAAAGAGCAACTTTTACCCAAAATCAGGCAAAGCAGGCAGCCAGATTGAGTTGCTTACAGAATGACAGATTCATTCGGAAATCTTTTGCTTGCAAGCAAACCTTCAATCCTAAGGGAGGTTCGGCTGTGCTTAGCTAGAAAGCAAGACATGCAACCATTTCCTGCTTCCTAGCTAATCTAAATCTCCCGGCACAGCAGAACAGATGATGGTGGAAAAAGGAAAAATAGCAACTTAGCAGACAAGTTTGCGGGGTAAGGAGTGGGTGGGGAGGGTTCCCGTGGGCCATGTGGGCTGAGCAGCCTTGTGTTTCTGCGCAGCCTGGATTAATTGCTTTGGGGGGGTGCTCTGGGGGTGAGATTTCTCTGAAGCCCACCAAAATTTTCTCGCTGCCCACTGATTGGCAACTGCTGCACTAGGAGACATCCCAATCAGTGTAGACTCTTGGTGGTTACATAAATAGATTCTCTCCAGATTGTAGAACTATCATATTCTTTGATTTCAGCTTTACCTTTCTGTTTTTATACCCTTAAATAGTCACACACGTGTCTATGCATACTCACACACATCCAATATACTCTATGGAACCAATTTGTGATTAATTAAAATGATCTTTTCTATGGTTTTACTGTTTACAGAATACGACATCCCAAATAGCTAAACTCATATTTTGAAAGTTTGGCTGTGAGAAACTATATTTTAGATTCAGTTGAGGTTAAATTAGGATTAAATGTTAAAAAGCTTTCCTTCTGCAATTTGAAGAGTAAGAAATGTTTTAAAACAACAGCCACAATTTTGTTATACAGTACAGAAATTGTGGGAGACAGGTTCCACAAAAATAAAGGCAGATCACAGTAAAGAGCTTTTTGAGATATAGGAAAGAGCTTTAAAATATTTGAGATGGTTGCCCTTGTGGACAAGGGGCCATTGAAATTATAGCTCATGTCCTGCTTATACTGTATCTTCTATAAGGACTCACTGATTCATTTTGTAACATCTCACTTTATAAAATACCTGGGAAGTACTGATCTCTCTTATCTACAACTGCTGTTATCAGTTAAGTATGAAGTAGTTTCTTTGAATGTTGCCAACTTTTATTATACTGTATGCAAAATTAGCCAGATTCTAACTAACGTGGCAATGTACCACTAATTGTAATATATTATTTTGTCTGTTTTTATTTTGTCACTGTTTTAATACTTTTATTGACAGTGCTAATAAAAAAAATTGATATATAAGTTGTCTGCTATTTTTCCTGACACCAGGGCTAAAATATATATATTTTATACTGAAATAGATATACTGAATAAGGCTAAAAAGAATTTGACAAGGCTTAATGTGCATTTTCTGATATCTGCTGATTGTCTATAAATTGAAATTTACTGAAGGGAGGGTTGGTCTTCCTTCTTACTGTACAATATGATTTTCTTTTGTAGGACTGAGACCGTGTATTGTATGAATGAAGCAGAACTGGTCGACATGGCTCTTTGTATTTTAGCTGAGGTGAGCAATGCAAAGATGTTGTTTAGGTGGCAGCTTCTTTTTTCCATACAATTGCCTGCAGTTATGGAGGCTGCAGCTTTTCAGTTAATTTTTGCCAGAATATCTTGCTCTCAGAATTGGAAAAAAAGAATTGGGCCTGAATACATCCAATTGTACTGGGTGATCATACTCACTGATAAGCACATTTCTTCTCAGAGAATTAGTTATATGTTTATCAACCAGGCATGATTGTAGATATTCTACCAGGCATCGTGCATCTCACTTATCCTGATCTAGATAGCAGAGAAACGTGGTCTCTCGATCCCAAAATGAAAGAAAATATTATTGCTTCCTTTTTAGAATTGCAAGGCTATAGAAGGTGATGTGATTTCTCAAGAGCATCAACAGGAATTGAGAGAGGGCCACCATCCAAGGACTGCTGTCAACATTGCCAAGGATCCTCCTGTACCATCCACACCTCCAGATGCTTTAAGTAGCAATGAGGAAACCAAACTAGAGGAAGATGATGATGCCTTAAAATATGTCAGGGAGATTTTCTTTACATAATTTTAACATTTATAAGCAACATAGCTTTTTAAAATTAGAATTAGAATTCTTTTTATTGGCCAAGTGTGATTGGACAAACAAGGAATTTGTCATGGTGCAAATGCTTTCAGTGTACATAAAAGAAAAGATACATTCGTCAATCCTGACAGTCCCTGTCATTAAGTGAGGTCCTCACAACTTAGTTTTCAACAAAGTCACTGGGAAGTCCCAGGTAACTTGCAAACAGGCCAACAGGCTGCTGTGATGTGAGTATGGCAGGGTCAAGGTGACTTCTGCTGGGTGGCACAAGGCGCACAGGGGGCCTGGGTGCCAAGGACCAGGGTGTTGTGAGCACATGCTACAAAGTATGAGATTTCTGGCAGAAAAAGGCTTTAGGAATGCAAATGACTTGTAGGAGTGTTTTACAGCTTTCCCTGCTTTTACCACTTTCCCTGCTGGCTTCCTCATTGGCTGCTTGTGGGAAGCTGGCAGGGGTGGTTGCAAATGGTGATCATGTAACCCTGGGATGCTTACAACCATTGTAAGTGCAAGGTGGCTGCCAAGCACCGGAAATATGATCATATGATTATGGAGGCATTGTGGCAGCCAGAACTCTGAAGACCAGTTTTAAGTGCTCCTCTTTTTAGTACCATCGCAACTTTGAATACTAGCTGAATGAGTGATCAGTAAATAAAAGTTCCCTATATTTTAATTTATGATTAAACTCTTACGATGCAAGAATAATATGGTAATAGGGAAAAAAGCTGCTAAAGTACTCAAGTACCCCGGAGACATGCATTTTTGGATCAGGTTCTATTATTTGTCTTCATTAAATAGGTATCTCTTCTCCACTAATGTTCAGACCATTTGACAATTAGCTGGGTTATGACTAAGAACCAAGAAATTATCTCGGTGCATTTATTACTCATATGGTAGCTTTAAACCATAGATCTGGAACATTTGTATTAATGTCTGTCAGACGGGGAAAGATATAAAAATGCTATATAGAAATTTTTTTTCCTTGACATGCTGCCATGTGGTAAGAATGCAGTACTTCAGGCTACTTCTGCTGAGTGCTGGCTGCCTTCAATTTGGCATTTTGAATCTCACCAGGCTCAAGATTGACCCAGCCTTCCTTTCTTCCAAGGTTGGTAAAATGAGGACTCAGATTGTTGGGAGGATTTTGCTGATTCTGTAAACTGCTTAGAGAGGGCTGTGAAGTGGTATGTAAGTCTAAATGGAGCCCATTAAATGGCTCATGTGATCTGCTGTTACCAGGGCAGGGGGTGGGAGTTGGGGAATGATCTTGTTATATTGTACTACATTAATTTATTTGATTCTTTTTGTTAGTTTTTATTGTTTGTAAATATGGTTTTATATTCTGTAAACCGCCTTGAGTCATCATGGGTAAATAGGCAGCAATATACACTGCTCAAAAAATAAAGGGAACACTTAAACAACACAATGTAATTTCACTTCTGTGAAATCAAACTGTCCACTTAGGTAGCAACACTGATTGACAATCAATTTCACATGCTGTTGTGCAAATGAAATAGACAACAGGTGGAAAGCATAGGCAGGAAGTAAGACAGCCCCAATAAAAGAGTGGTTCTGCAGGTGGTAACCACAGACCGCTTCTCAGTTCCTGTGCTTTCTGACTGATGGTTTGGTCACTTTTGAATGCTGGCGGTGCTTTCACTCTAGTGCAGGGGTGTCCAACCTTTCACCTTCCCTGGGCCACATTAGAAGATGAAAATTTGATTTGGGCCGCACATAAAATAAAATAACAGTAACGATACCCCATCATCCCCAAAAACCATAGAAAACATAGTTAACATATTAAACTTATTTGGAAATAAAGTTAGTGAGATGTTTTTATTATTTATTATTTATTTAAAATTATTTATTTTTTATCACCGTTTTTTTATCACAGTTTATTTTCCGGCCAAATTTTGCGGGGGGGGGGGGGGG